ATTGGTAGAAGTCAATCAATATCTGTGATCATCTACTCTCTATCAGGCACCAGGCTAAATGACACGCAATTCAACAGGACTCTCCTTGGTATCAGTTATAAATGGTTATTGGAAAGGCATCTTTACAATAGCAGTCAAAGGAGAGAATATTGATATTTTATTCAAAAGTATAAAAAGTTTCATTTCCCTCACTTCTGAGATTATCATAATCATGAACACAGACATACTGTACATTTTTAATCTCTTGAAAGGATGTTTATTTCAAAATGGGAATTTTCATGAACAATAAAAGGCCTTCTTTTTGACCTACAATACTTGAGGGGCTTACAACTCCTTTCACTGATACCAGCTCTAATTTTCATAACAGCTCTGTAGAGCAGAATCATAACGTAGGCATTGGAAATCCCATTGCATAAAGGAGGAAACTGAGGCCCAAGAGATTGTGACTGTCTCAGATCCTTTCAATATCAAGCCCCTCGGGTATATTTTAAAGCCCCTATCAATGTACCTAAATGTTACAGCACCCATCTATTTCCTAAAGCAAGGTACACCTATAAAGCCATACATGCTGTTTGGTAGACCACAAGGTTTTTTAACAGCATCCCATATTTCTGTTTTGAGTCTCTTGCCGCTTGGGTAAACATTGTACTTTTCATTGGATATACTGTAAGTCATTAAAGTCAGTAAATAGCAGAAATGAATAAAACAGCAACTTAGATATTTTTAACACCTCTGAGTTAAAACCACTTTGCAGTGGGGAAGAAGAACAGATGCCCGCTTCTAAATGTGAGAGCCACCAACTGGGAATTTGCTAGTTGTAACTGCTGCCATCTGTTTTCCACTGTTCTTTTTACCTGCCTCTCTTAGATTTAGTATTTGAATTCTGGGCCATGGATTCTTAGTATAGGCAAGGGAGGAGTGGGAGGGACTCCAATTTGGAATTTTCCCAGGTGCTCTCTCTACTGCATTAAATCAAAGGTAACTTCTCAGGGAAAAAAAAATCATGAGGGCTATTATTTAACAACTGCATTTTATTCTTCTATGCATTCTTTGTACTCCTATTTCCATGTGCATTTTTTTCTATTTAATCAACTTCCTGCTTTTCCTAAGGGCTTTGTGGGAAACGCCTCTCTGATGCCAATTAGGGCAGAGCTGTGTGAATTAGTTTCTTCCCTGACTGAATAAATAATTTCAGTCAAGCCACACATACATTCAGAACTCACTTAATCAGCACTTAACTAGTATTAGGTACTACTGTGGTGGACTTTTCCCCATAGAGTCGATGTGGTGAGGGAGATACTATTTGTGCCAAAAGGAACAGGTTAATAGGACTATACAGGATATTAGAAGATCGTTCCAGTTCACCCTTCCCCTCTGCCTTCAAGTAGATTTGCTCCTAAACCAAAGCAGAAAGAGAAAATCTGCCCTTTTCTTTTAGGAACATCTGTAGGGGAGGTTTCTCAACGTTTGATTTTAATTCTGAGTGACATATGTGGATGTGCATATAACTTCTGGCTAAAGGCCAACAAAGAACAAGAATAATGATCCAACTTGTAAATGAGCTCTCTCTTTAAATCTACATGATAAAGGTGGAATTCCAGTTTTACATAAGAGAAAACAGTTTCAACGAAGTTATATATTTTGATAAGATCAACACAGGTGGAAAGTGACATATCAAGACTTAGTTTCAACTCTCCCCAATTCTTTAACCCAAATTACCAGAAGAGTGCTACAGAAGGCAATGACTTCAATCAGGAGTTTCTCTGCTTCCTTTCAGATTCTGAGTCCGTCTGTAATTGTGAAAGAAACAGAAGTTGTGCAAGGACCTCTCCAGCTGCATGCTCTACTGAAATGCCATGACAAAGGTCAAGCCTTACCAGGCCTTCCAAACCAAACCATGCCACTCACCCCACCTCCATACTGTCACACTGGAGATAGAAGAATCTATTTAGAAAAAGCCAGGTTTTTAAAGAACAAAATACAGTTAGTAACATAATCTTGGTTTATCTTCAGCTTGCTTCAACAACTGTGAAACAAATGCCTCAATATACCTCTGGAAAAATGAGAGGTGTCAACAATGAAAAAAAAATGATGGAAGATCATTATCTGCTTCAGACAGTTTGAGTTTTACTGGGATGGGCCATATGATTTTCCATGAAGACCAGCAAAGTGTACACTTGCATTTAGAGGCTCTTCACTCAAGGTACACTCACCATTAGGTGAGAGGCTCAAGGAAATTATTTTCACTAAATATGCATTGTTCAATATTTGTGCTAATTTGTCCCTATTAGGCACCATGGTGTCTGAGCTAATCCTCAGGATGGGATTGTCAAATCAGATCTACATATATCAGATATCTGCCTTGGAATATGAACAGGAGATGCACAGGGAGAGCTATAAGCCCCCAAGCCTTCCCTCCTTTCTTGGACATGGGTTTCTGCCCAGAACAATAGTGGAGTTCTGTAAGTGAGCCTTCACTGTCCACACAACAGGGAGGCTTTCAGTTCTGAAGTACTATTTTACACCATATATCAGGGTGTTGCAATCTACACTCTACAAGCCAGTCATCTATTTCTATAATGTCTCATGGAACACTGCCAGGCCCACACTTACCAACTATTGTCTATAGTGCTTTGCTGATACACAACAGAGTTGGGTAGTTGCAACACAGATCATGTGGCCCATATGTCTAAATATTCTTTATCTGATGCTTTTAGAAAAAGTCTACCAATCCATACCCTAGAATGTTATATAGCCTAGGTGATATTCTCTAGGTAGCCGAGCCTAATTCCCCAGAGGGTTCTATTCACTACCATTGGCCAGGAACCTCCTACTAAGGGCTGTATGCAGATAAGATCCCTTCCTCCCAGAAAATATCACTGGCTTGGAGAGTAGACAAAGTCATCTGCCTCTTTTTCTTCCATGGGGGCATCTGTATCCTTGCCTTCAGTAAAAGAGGAAAATGGATCCCAGGCCAGACTCTATACCTCAATCCTTTCAGTGCTGAAATGCCATTAAAATCTGGTGTGCTTCCAAGGAAGGTAGGAATATAAACACACAAGTTGCACATGAAAATTACCTGGCCTACAAGTCATAACACAAACATGAAGACAAAGAAGGGATCAGTAATCTGGATTGGAAAAGTAAAGATTGGGAAAGTGAAAGTGAACTTAAAGAATAAGCAAGATTTGGCAAACAGGAGCTAAGAAAAGAACAGCAGAGGGAACAGCATGAGTTTGAGAAAGATATACAGATGTCTATGTGTGTCTGAGTGTGGAGTGTGTCTGTGTGTGAACACACATATATGCTCAAATAATTCATTTAATGGATAAGGAAGAGAGAGTCTGGAAAGCCATTTACAGAACACAAGATCTCTGAGCTCGCAAGTTAAGGGAAGGAGAACATCAAGGCTAAGATAGAGAGCATCTGAGGTCATGAGTCCTGGACATAAGTGGGGAAGAACATAAGAATATTTCCTGACAGCAAACTTAGTTTGAGGAGTTTTTTGCCTTTTTTCTAAAACTTTCCTTGCCTTACATTTACTTACTCTTGGTCACCGCATGACTCCAATGAAAACTGATATAATACTTAAAGGTTAAGCGCCACAAACAAATTTGCCTCATGATGGGAGAAATGTCAGGAAAAGGAATTAATTAAAAGAGAAAACGATGTCCCTTAGTAACCAAAGTCCTCATCTGCAGTTAAATCAAGATCTTACCATTCTAAAATGTCAAATTTATCTCTTTTGACTCACTTCATTTTTTTAAAGAAAGCTATTACTTGGCACAAATTAATAGCACAAATTTTGTGAGAAATGATTTTTGCTTTTTTAAATAAGTAAAAAGATTTCTAACCCAAGATGATAATCATGGGGAATGGTTGAACTCAGTCACTGCACATACATAAAACAAACAAACAAACAAACAGAACCTCAAAAATCTTGGGTCTATGAACAGAAACCAAACAAGATACACTTTATGTTTTCTTTTTAACAAAAGTATTGCATCTTTCAAGAAAGAATTTTTAAGTTCAAATCCAATTAATATTTTGTTTTTAAAATTATCTGCTTTATGTCATTGAGTTCAAAAAGAATTTAGTTTACCCAAAATCATTTTACTCTAAAATAGCAAAAGTATAATAAAATATTTCGACTGGCAAAAAAAATATTCCAAGGATATCAGCCATATTTTCATAAGCAAATCAGAGAAGGGAGACATAACAATGTTTTGAGAACTGTTAAGGGAGTTTCTTTCAAATAGTGTCTCCCTCTAATTGCGGCCCCATCTACTCCAGGTCTCCAGGGTCCCTTCTACCTACCATAACCACTTAGGTATTTCAAGACTAGAGATTCTTGATCAGGACCTCCCTCCTTGATCTCTAGTTTCAAGATGGCTTCTGGTGGGAGAAAGCTTTTATCCCAAAGTGTTTATGAACCAAACCTCCTTGTAATCCAAGATTTCAATGAGAAAAATGTATGTCCACAGCAAAAGGAGAATCAGAAGTGTCCCTTTAGAGTCTACAACTATTTCAATACACATTAAACACATATCACGTTTAGGAGAACAACATGTCATTGATAGAAGCAAATTATGGGACATGTTATGCCTTCTGTGGTACATGTGGTTTGAATCTGGGTGAGCTACATAGAAAATATTTCTGTCCCATCCACTGAAATGTCATGTTGGATGCAAAGATACAAGATGACATCATCAGAAGCAGTCTAATTTCAGTGATGTCTTATATGGTGGCCACACAATCAGAGAGAAGCTCTTAAAAAATTCCTCCTGAACTTATACCCCTGTACTGAATGAAACCTAGGGGAAGGGTAGCTTTTGCTAATAGTTTTTCTCTGTATAAAAACGAACTAAAGCAAACACTTATAATGAAAGATAGTTTAGTAATAAAAATAAAACCAGGAAATAAAAGATCTACAGATATATCATTTGGGACCCAAGAAATGCTATCTTTGGCATAAATATTACAGGTCTGTCACTTCTTACCTTGGCAGCAAGATTTTCTGTAGGTGGCAGGAAGTTGTTCTTGTTCAGTGATTTGGAAGGCCCCTGTTTTCATCTTCAAGGTAGAAGATTCTTGTGATAAGCCCAAAATGCCTGAATAAATTGATAGAGGTAATATTAAAGAACAACAAAAATCGATATTTAATAGAATAACTTAACTATGGGAAAACAGTATATCAACATGAGGGGACTTCAAAAAGTTTATGGAAAATGTAATTAAAAGATGTTTATTTTGGTTTAAACTCATGCATAGTTTTTTCATAACAGAAAAAGTTTTTCCATGAACTTTTGGAAGGCCCCTCATAAAATATGATATCTATTTTTTGTGTGCAAGACGTTCTTCTTGACTCTTTTGTTGCCTCTACTGTTTTACAGGGGGATTCTGTTTGTTTTACCTTCCTTGGCCTTTTTATCCAGAAGCAGTCTTGGTAAACTTGGTAGTGCTACTTCTGCCACATTATGATTGAATCTACAAAAAGCAAATTCAAAGACCTTAAGGCAAGTGGGTGGAAAGTTACTGAAGGAACACCAGTTTGATTCCTTATGGAACTAAATCTATTCACTACTCCAGTGACTTTGCTTCATTTCCAAGACTAAGTAAAAATTACTCACCAGTAAAATACAATTGGGTCTCTTTCTTTTCTTCTTGAGTTATTTTCTAAATTATTTATTCATTCATCAAATATTGCTTTCCTCCTCTATGCTAGGCAATATATTAAACAATGAGGGACACATCAATAAAAAGGAAGATTCTGCTAGCTATAAATGTGCTGCTGATTAGCCCCATTCATTGACTGACGTGCCATAACCACTGCTCCTTTGGGACTAGAATTGCGACTTCATGACAGAGCCTTCCTCCAGGGACTTGACTCTAATCCCTGAACTGAAGCTGGCAGAAGTCTAATTTCTCACTCAATTGCCCCTAAAATGAGACTTGGATCCATAATCTAAAAACCAGCTAATCTTCCTGTATATCAGGTGGACCTCAATAGAGAGCAAGCAGAGGGGTACTCAGAGGCAGGTGGCTCCCCATGTTCAGAAGGAAACCTCGGTGCTAATTTAGATATCACAGGGGACACTGGTCCCAAAGTCAGCTAGCCCCCTTCCGAATCAGTTTCCCACATAAACACTATCAACTGAAAGCTCTGACAGCAAACACATGTAACATGGTGTACAAGACCAGAGGCCCTGCCTACACAAACACACCCGTCCTTCCAAGGCAGGCAAATCACCCCTGAACCTTTCCTAGTGTTCTGTAAAGACAAATTATCACCATCAATCTTTTTTCCTCTAAAATTCTAAAGTTCTAGGTTTCAAATACTATGTCTCCTTCACTTAAAAAGTGAAAAACTTCACTTGCAAAACTATTTTAGGGGTCAGTGCTGTGGCATGGGCTAAGCAATCGTTGGCCAGGAACATCCTACTGAGGACTGTATGCAGAAAATATCCCTTCCTCCCAACAAATATCATTGGCATGGAGAACAGAGAAAATCATCTGCCTCTTGTTTTCACTGGGGGCATCTGTTACCCTTGCGAATGTGTATAAGCATGTAAGCATCAACACAATCAAGAATCAGGACAAGGGCTGTGCTGTGGCATAGCAGATAAAGCTGCCACCTACAGTACCAGCATCCCATTTGGGCACTGGCTCAAGTCCTGGCTGCTTTGCCTCCAATGCAGCTCCCTACTAATGTGCCTGGGAAAGCGCCAAAAGATGGTGCAAGTCCTTGGGCCCCTGAACCCCCATGAGTGACCAGAAGAAACTCCTGACTCCTGGCTTTGGATCGGCCTAGCTCCAACTGTTGTAGACATTTGGGGAGTGAGCCAGCAGGTGGAAGACCTCTCTCTCTCCCCCCCCCACCTCTCTCTCTCCCTCCCTCTGCCTCTCTGTAACTCTGCCTTGCAAATAAACGAATAAATGTGCTATTTTTTAAAAAAGAAAGGATTAAGTTCTTAAAAAAAAAAAAACTATTTTAAAGTTAAAAGGAATGCATTTCTAACTAATGATAGTTATTCTAAATTTAACTCAAGAACAGAATTGAAGTGCTCCTTGTAGACTATTTAACTCTGAAAAAGCACCAAGAGACTGAGAAAACAATAAACTCACATTAAATGTTGTGTTACTATAAACCTAAGAATAAGTTGATGGATACAATAAAGTCAATTTAAGTCATAACTGTCATTGACTTCATTTATTTTCTTCAGAAAAGGGCATTTCTGAAAAAGAAAACCAGTAAAAGGGGGTAGAGAATTGTTTTTTTCAGAATTCATGCCTGTTGAATCTGAGGTAGAGAAGTAGGTTTGCTTAAAAAATCCAGATGGCGAGGGTAATCCTGACTTCAAATCTCCCACCAGCACATGGGTGGCCTCGAAGTTGAGCCTTGTAGCAGTAGTTATGCCATAGAATATGATCTGACAAGAGGAACAAAATTAATTTAGTGCTATAAGAAATTTGCAGGAACCTAGAAGTTTTATTCCAATTAATGCATTTAATCATAACTGGAAATTCAAATCAGAAAGATTAGCCCATTTTAGTGTCAGCCTCAAATACCAAATGCTTTTAAATTTAAAAAAATTTATATGTATTTGTGTGTACCCCTGTGAGATGACAGATTTATTCAGGTTAAAAATAAATATGAGGCTGGCGCCACGGCTCACTAGGCTAATCCTCCGCCTTGCAACGCCGGCACACCGGGTTCTAGTCCCGGTCGGGGCACCGGATTCTGTCCCGGTTGCCCCTCTTCCAGGCCAGCTCTCTGCTGTGGCCAGGGAGTGCAGTGGAGGATGGCCCAAGTGCTTGGGCCCTGCACCCCACGGGAGACCAGGAGAAGCACCTGGCTCCTGCCATCGGATCAGCGCGGTGCGCCGGCCACAGCGCGCCGGCCGCGGCGGCCATTGGAGGGTGAACCAACGGCAAAAAGGAAGACCTTTCTCTCTGTCTCTCTCTCTCACTGTCCACTCTGCCTGTCAAATAAATAAATAAATATGATCTCATTTGGGTCGCTATTCTTCTGTCTCATCCTGCCTATCAGTGCTTCTATCTGAGAATTATAGGAGATGATATAAATAATTATGTAAACAAAAGATGTGACCAGGAGCTAAAACAGGTAAAACCTCAGCTCATTTGTTCCCACAGTACAACTACAGAATCCTCTGTTATTCTAAAAATGCAGTCGGCTCTCCTATCCACAGCTCCATATCCATGGATTTAACCAATCAAAGATGGAAAATACTCCCCCCAAAACTTTGCATCTGTACTGACCACAAACACTTATTTTTCTTGTCATTATTCCCTAAACTGACAGGATAACAACTATTTATGTAGCATTTATATTGTATTAGGTTTTATAAGTAATCTAGAGATTATTTAAAACACACAAGAGGATTGCATAGGTTATATGCAAATGTCACACATTTTATACAAGGAACTTCAGCTCCTGCAGAGTTTGGTATCCACAGGGAGTCCTAGAACAAATCCTAGGAGGCTACTGAAGGACAATTCAAAATGTTTACAGCATACCTTTCATGTTGTTTTAAGGTTCCAAATGAAATTAGCAAGTCAATTCTGAAACACACAAAAAATGCATGAGAACTAGAAGGTTTTACCTAAAATACTATCATCTAAATAATTTTTCCTGTATTATCTTTGTGCCAACTTCTGGATCTGTGAACTGAGGGGCCAAAACGATTAGACTTTCCCATGGCTGATTCTCCTGCCCCACATACCTACACCAGCGGATCCATTTCCAGGGTGATTTTCAACTCTCTATTCCTCATTTTTTGGTGCTATCCTCCATATACCACTACTCACAATTAAAAATAAAGAACTGATCACATTATCACTATTTCCCAAAGCCCACAGACAATCTGCATTGTTAACACTGGATGACTTTCACTACAAGAACCACACCCTGTATACACAGAGATAGATAAAATGAGACAACACACAGCTGCGAAATGAGGTCATGCTTCTTTTTATTTCCTGACTTCATTAAATCTATTTGAACCTCAACATAAGAAAATAAAGTAAAATGGCTGATGCAGGTTAGATACCTGTGCATTCTCTAACACTTAACATTGGCTTCTAGAAGATTTCTTTAGAGTTCAGAGGGGGGAAACATTGTAAATATCAAGGGGTAAGAATCATTATTTCAGGGGGGAGGAACCCTTGTGATTTAAATTAAGACCATGACTTTAAACTGACACTAGGTAGTTAAATAGCAATACTAACTCCAACTATTCTTTCCCCATCTCATAATATTTAATTATGAATTTTAAGGTTATAGCATGAATTTTTGGTTCTGCTGGTAAAATTCCTAGAGTTATATATTATTTCCATATTTATGCATATTCACTGCAGAACATGAGTCCTCTATCCTTTGGGCTTTTTCTTTTTCTTTCATTTGTTCTATTTCATTTATTTTTAGATGAATGTCATCCAGTTTTATATTTTTTCCAACTGAGATTCATGTATATATGATTGCTTGGTTGTGTTTATTTATTAATTTTTTATTTATTTACTTAAAAGGATCCATCCATTGCCTCAGTAGTTGAAGGAAGTTGGGTATCAAAATGCTAGGGACATACTTCCTTCCCTTTGAGTTTTGGAAACACTGATTCTCTGTCTTCTCACTGAGAGAAGTCAAGGCCAACATTACTTTTTAACCATGTGAATGATCTGCATTATTTGCATACACAATCATAAGATTCTTTATCTTGATGTTCAGCATCTTCATGAGAGTATGTTTTGATGTTTCATTTAAATTTTCCTTCTGGGGGCCAGCATTATAACACTGCAACTTAAACAGTTATTCCAAACACTGGCATCCCGTATCAGAATGCCTGTTACAGTCTCAGCTACTCTGCTTCTGATCCAGCTTCCTGCTAATGTGCCTGGAAGGCAGCAAATGATGGCCTAAGTACTTGGCCCCCCACCACCCATGTGAGAGACCAGAATGGAGTTTCTGGCTCTTGGCTTTCCCCTGGTCTAACCCTGGCTGTTGCCAACATTTGGGAAATGAACTAACTGATGGAATCTGTCTCTTTCTCTCTCTTTCTTGTTCTGTCTTTAAAACAAATAAACGAATCTTAAAATAAATAAATTTTACCTGGGACATGGTATGCATTTTTTATTTAGAATATAAATTCCAGGAGTTCAGTCAACATTTTCTATATTTTCAATACTCTGCTCTCAATGCCTAAAATGGCATCAGACAACAGCTAACCAGATAATGAAAGATTAATTTAAAAAAGTGTTTACTTTAGAAAAATTTTCTTCTAGTATATCCTTAGATATTTTAATATTTTATGTATCTTATTTTCTCAGGACACTCATTATGCATACATATAATGTCCCTAGTATGTCTTCCGTATTTCAACCATTATCATTTTTATCTTTGTACTTATGTTTAACATAAGCACATATGTACATCCTTGATGATACAAATATTCAGTTGTATTATTCTTTATGCATTGTTTTTGTTGTGGTTCTAAGAATATTTTTGAGTTTTCTTTCTTCTGCTTCTTTCCTAAGTGCTGCCACCTACCTCTTTAATTGCTTATTTACTCATTTTTTCTGGATACCTGACAGAACTAAAATTCCACACACCCCAAATCTAATTTATAATCTACACCAGCATATTAATCCTCCTCAAAGAACACCACCACTATCTAACCAATTTTATAAGATTGAAACTTCAGTTACTTTAGTTTAGCCTTCTATCACCAGCCATCCCAATCACCAAGTTAATGACCACTACAGTAAATCTTTCCTCTAAAACATGTTTTGATGCATCTGTTTCTTTCCATCTGTTCTGCCAACAAATAATCTTTACCACCAATATCTCTTGCCTGAAGGTGGGAAGCAGCCAGATGGCACAGATTCTTGAAGCACTATAGTAAGGAGTTTAAACTTCATTAAAATAAAAAAAATGGGGAAGCTCAGTGGCTAAGCATTTTAAATAGTTTATCTCATTCAATCCTCCCAAGCCTCTGAGGTAAGCAGGGGTAAATCCATTTAGCAATACATAAAATAAGGATTTTCTCAGTGTCACAGAGCCAGCAAATGATGGAGCTAAGGTTCAAGCACAGTCCTGTTTGAATTCAGGGGCCAAGGATTTAACACAAGTACAACAATGTCTCCCATCTAGACAGAGGTATAAATAAAACTGTAAACACTAATGAAGGCTCCAAGATTCAGAAATAAGAAATGGAAGTCAGGGATGTACCTTTGATAAACAACAGTTTTTGAGGGGTAAGAAATAGATTCACTGAACTAAGCAGAGAAAAGATCAGCTTTCAGTATCATGGAGAAATGACCAGAGACAGAGAGAGATTTTCTATCTGCTGATTCACTCACCAAATTCCTGCAATATTTAGGGCTGAGCCAAATCAAAGCCAGGAGCCAAGAACCAGGAATTCCATCCATGTCTTCCATTAGGCTGCAGGAACACAAGCACTTCAGCTGCCCTCTGCCTTCCAGGATATGCATTAGCAGGAAGCTGAGTTCAAAATCAGAGCCAGGACTCCAGCCCAGGAAATTCTATAAGAGATACAGGCATTCCTAGCAGCATATTAACTGTTACACTATGTACCAGTTTTCTGCTTTGTGAATAATCTCAGTTAGGCTACATCTGCATATGCCTAATGAAGAAAATGTTTTTTCAGTTGAATTTCTTTAAGAAATTATCAGTTCATTTCTTTGCAGTAGATAAGATCAGTCATATCACATAAACAGCCCAATTTCATTGAAAAACATTTAAAACTACAAAGCAAGCTATGTTTTGATCTTGTATTTTTATGTCACAAGTTATAGACAGAATCCCAGTTAATACCTACAATAAGAATAATTAGCAAATTCATTCATTGGAGTTCCACTGGCACATCAGTGACCCATTCCAACAAAAATCAACCTTTATGAATGTCAGTGAGTCAGCTGAATTTCCTCACATATAATTAATTTTCACATACTTTCATTTTGTATGAGATAAAAATTCAATCATATCTAATTTCTCAATATGATAGTGTTTATGACTTTTAAAAGATAGTTTTACCAAAAATTATGACTCCTCACAATGTAATTATAAAGCAAAATGTAATTTTCAAAATATGCACATTAGTTTTCACTGCCACAAGCTTTAAATTGTTCTCATTCCAGAGTACACCCTATCAGGGATTCAAGACTGAGTCATTAAAAATAATCTCTGGAAACCAGTAGACATAGTTGCAATCTTGGTTCTACCATCTAGAAGCTATAGGACTTACACAAACTATGTAATTCTCCTAAGGTGAGTTTCTCATTTGTAAAATGTAGATCATAATGTTTGCCGCATATTATTGTGACATTTAGATGACTTAATGAATCTGAAGTTCTTAGCATAATACCTGGGAAATGGTAATATTTGTTTAAATATGAGCTTTTTTCTCTCCTCTTTCATAGTTATATAGTGAAATCAAAGGAAGGGGAGATAAAGATTATGGGTTAAATTTCAGTATGCAAGAATTTGAGATACCCTTAGGAACAATTCCTAGGGAGAAGTAAAGGAAGCAATTAGGTAGAGGAGAAGTTGAGCTATTAGTAGCTACCACAAAGACCTCAGCCAATTCTGCAGTGAGTTCTGGAACTGGGAGGGCCCATCAGAGTTTTCCCAAAATAAGACAACAGAATTAGGCCTTTATATTTCCACCAAAGTAGGCCCTGGGTGCACACCCCACCAAAGATGAGAAGTGACTTTGGTGAAAATGATACTCTAGTTATGGGCTATTCTTAGAGGAGGAATCAGATGAACCCCTTCAGCCACCAAAATTTCTAAAATTTTGGAATGGGTCCCATAGTCCTAAAGGGGGATTTAAAAAGTGCACCAACGCATCCATTACAGTTAAGTCAAATAAATTCTTCACTAGTGAATAAGTTATTACACGGTAAAGGACAATCCAGATCAAAAGAACATTTCAAATTATAGAAGACATACTAAAATAGTCTTAAATATATTTGAACATTTTAACAGGTAACCTCACTGAAGGTAGAAACGGGGTTTGTAATCTTAGTTTTCAAAATAGCGAGAGCGCAGATATCCAAATGTGGATCTCCTGTGATTTTTATCATGATTATTTCCTTGGTAAATCTGTTTTTAGAGATAGCATATTCAACCTTCAACTCAGTACAGGCAAAATTATTACAAACTCAGCCACACTAGAGACTATTTCAGTGAAGTTTCATTGTTTCCTCATTATAGATAGAGTACAAGTACTTCAGCTGCAATGATAAATGAAGAGAGAACATTTTATCCCTAGTTAGGAGAAAAGTTCCTGGTGAAGGTTATATTTTAGCAGTAGGAAAAGTAGAACTTGTAGAGGTGCAGCAGTTCTTAACATAGATGCAAATTGAGTGAATTTCAAAAATTCTGAGAGGGATAATCAGGCACATGGGAAAATGAGTCAGTTTGCCTCAGTGGCTATTTTGAGAAAGCCTGATTAAGAGATTTAAACTAAAAGTTTTGTTCTTGTGCCTAAGGTAATTAGAGTTTCCTACAGAAATGTAAAAAGTTTTATTATGGCACAAGCAGTGTTCAGAGAAAACACAGCATTCAATACCTGCTTAGGAGAGTGTGCTGGGACCGGGAACTGAGGAAGGTAAGGATAGAAACATTCCTTAGAAAAGGATGAACACATGGGCTCTGGATGCACTCTAAAGAAAAATCAAGACCTAATATAAGCAATAGTGTTATATATTCAAATTCAGTCTAACTGTGAAGGATAATAAATAATGAGAAGTCAAACATTTTTAACCTTTCTCTGAAAAAATGTAGTTGAGACTGAAACATTTCCAATTCAAAAGGGAAGTGAATCTGAGAGAAGAGATTAAAGGAAGAAGAAACAGCTCTCTTCTTGTTAGTTTTTGCCTAAATAAATGCATTTAGTTTAGCATTGACTGTAGAGTGGGGGAAAAGTAGGCGCCATAACTAGAGTGCAAATACTATTGAATCTGGCAGTTTGAAAGGATGCATGGAATCATAAATCATAAAACTTCACAATCAGGAGTGACTTTACACCCATTTAGACAAAAGGATTCTGAACTATTTTAATAGTAGAATCACTTTTTGCCAACTAAAAAATTTTTCAATAATTCTGATATCAAAAAAAAAGAATCACAACTGTCTTGTTTGATTCCAAAGTGCCATTCATCAGGTGCCACTTCCCACATTTGGTACAAAATTTAATAATTGCTGTTGCTTCAGTATTTTTATATACCAAAATTTGAGGAATTAAAAAGATCAACTAACTTATCTAAAGCCAAAAAAGCAAATACATCACAGAATCAAGAGTAGGACTCAAGTACTAAACACCTTCTACACAAGATGCCTTCTTAGAAAATGCTCCATATACACAAGATTTTACTGTATCAAAGGGAAAATATTAATGATAAATAATATAATTTTTAAAATATCTGTTAGTAAAACAGTCTAGAAATATTTTTATATTTTCTAATAACATTTAAATTTGTCTGAAAATGTATATCAAAATTTTCAAAATACCATTAACTGTGCAATTCCACTTTTAAAAATGTATCCTTTAAGTGTATACCTGATTATTTTTATAGAAATTCAAGCACAAAGATGCTCACTATATGCCATATGAAATAGCTAATGGCTAGGAATAGTTTGTGTGTAAGTAGGAGTATAAATTATAAAACTGTTACATCCTTAAAATCTAACACTATGCAAACATGATAAACATGAAGCTAGGGATGGGGGTTAGCCTAGTGATCAATCTGCCAATTAGGATACCTTTATCCCATATTTCATTGCCTGGGTTTGAGTCTCAACTTCACTCTCAATTGCAGCCTCCTTCTAATGTATACCCTGGGAGGCAGCAGGTGATAGCTCAAGTAATTGGATTGAATTTCTGGCTCCAAGTTTTGGTCTGACTCAATCCTGTCATGGGTGTCTGGGGAGTGACAGCGAATAAAAGATCTCACTCTAGCTCTCCTCCCTCCCAACCCCTGCCTTTCCTTTCCTCTCTCCCTCCCTCCTTAACAAAATATAAAAAGAAAAACAAATATGGAGCTATGTCTATGTAAATGGGTGTAGAAAGATTGCAGAATCTGTTATTGAAGATTTCTGCTTTTTGAAGTTTAATGGGCTAAATATTTGGGAGGGTCCACATGCTACCAAACAACTAGATGCTATGTGAAACATTTTACACTGATGGGTTCCCAGGCACTCAGAGAAATCTCCAAGGGGAAGATTAATGAATGGCAAGCACACATAACCAGCAGGCTTACCCAAGGGATACATGTCATTATTGATGCCACAATCAGGAGATAAATGTCTTGACCAGCGGGTCAATGGCACAGATTCCAGAAGGGGCCAAAGTAAAACTACTTTGTCTTTGAGTAGCCCTTGGCTTCTCAGAGAAATACATGCAAATCATTCACGAAGTAAAGCATTTATAAATTCACCATATCTTCCTTACATTAAAAATAATTAAATATTATTTCACAACAATCACAAACATGATTTTTAGTAAATAATAAATAATGATGTTAGATTTGAATAAGAGTAGAAATTTTTATTTAAAAACTGGAGCACTGCTTTGGGAAAGTTGTACTCATCTTCTGTCCCTCCATAATTGAGTAAAGGGTAGGAAAATACTGTAGGCCCCCACTGCATCCAGTTAATCTTGGGGCTATGTCTTATGTTATAGACTTACTTCTGCCCTCCCTCGGGATTCACATGTTGAAACACTAATCCACAGTGCTTCAGAATGTGGATTTACAGATGATGCCCCCAAAGAGGTGTCTAAGTTAAAATGAGGCCATTACTGTCCTTATAAAAAGAGGAAATTTAGACACACAGAGAAAACCCATGGCCATGGATAAGAGGAAAGGACATATGAGGATACAGCAAATATGCTGCCAAAGAGAAGAGCTTCAGGAGAAACCAAACCTGCAGCATCTTCATGACTTACAGCTTCCAAAACTGCGAGCAAATAATTCAGTTGTTTAAGGCACCCACCCAGTCTGTGGCATTTTGTTATGCATCCTTTGAAAACAAATACCCCCAAAAAAGATATGTTGAAATTCTAACTTCTGTGGATGTGACCTTAATTGGAAACAGAGTTTGAGCAGATGCAATCTAGTTCATATGAGACCACACAAGATTAGGGTAGGCACTAAATATAACCACAGGTGTCCTGGAAATCAGGCCACGTGAGGATATAGAATCACAAACAGGAGACTATCATGTGAAGATGGAGGCGGAGCCTGAAGTCCTTGATCTACAAGCCAAGGAAGGTCATGAATTGCTGGAAACACCAGAAGCTAGGAGAGCGGCATGCAATATATGCTCCCCTAGGGGATCCAAAAGGACACTACCAACAACACCTTCTTCTCCAACTTAAAGCCTCCAGAACTGTGAGAGGACAAATTTCTTCTATTCCCTGCCGCCAATTTGTGTTAATTTTTTATAGCAACCCTAGGAAACTAAGAGAGTTCCCTAGATCTGCAGGAGAAGTAGAATTACTGAGAACACTCCACAGTCA